GCTATACACTAACGGTGCAGTTACCGTTATTATATAGCGCCAGGTTTTCTGGCGTTATATATATTATGGTTACCTTTTTTTTTTACACTTATTTGTGTTTTCTGAATCCAAAATAGCAACATTTTGGTTTCCGACTCTTCTTTTCTATGTATATACACTTTGCAAGGAAAGAAGGGGAGCCTGAGCGTAATTGGTAAAGTTATTGCCATTTGAATAGGAGGTTACGGGTTCAAGCCGTGAAAACAACATATTGCAGAAATGCATGGTAAGGCTACGTACAATAGACCCTTGTGGTCTGGCTCTTCCCTGAACCCAGCGCATAGCGGGAGTTTAGTGCACCAGGCTGTCCTATACTTTGCTAGGAACCAAAAGTGTCTATATTTGAAGTTTATTTGCTTAGGCTTATGGTGTAATTGGTGCAGTGGTTCAAGTGTTCAACTGACCTTAGTCCTAGCTGTAGTAAAGGTAAATGCTAATTTTTTCCACATAATTAGACTATTGGAATTCAATTTCTTGTGCATTGTAGTTAAAAGTTGTCATAGTTTATGGCCATAAGCCCCAAACGGATGGGAAAAAATACTTGTTTTTCGAAAGCAAAGTTCTAACCGAGTAATTTTGGTATCCGGATTTTGATAGTTAAATGAGTTCATTTTAATTGTAAACTCGAATATAGCATCTTTAACTTTTCGGAAATAAAATTTACATATTTGAAAACTATGTAAAAAGCACAATAAGTCATATTAATTAATAATTCAAAATTTTTAAAAGTATATGAAAAAATTACGATCAGAGATAAACTTTTTTCTCTCAAATTCGAACACCGCCACATAAAGTGGGACGATGGAGTAATACAATACTGCGACTTTAATCTTTGTGACAGCTGATATTTTCGTAATAGTAGTGTTCGGAGAGAAAACATATGCTCCTATTAGTACACCAAATACCTATTATCTTCCACGAGCGTAGATACTGAATAACTCGTCCCGCCAATTTTCTGGCAGATAATGTTGTATTTTTAAGGTGCATCTGGTATTTCACTCTAAATAACTTCTTTTTTTCCCACAGCCGACACGGTAAAAATTGTATGGGGTAGCCACTATTTAAAGTGATATTTAATTTTTATCCAGCATTTTTAATGCCGAGCAAAAGTAGCCACTAGTTTATTAAAATTAATATGAAAGGACGTTATTACCCTTTCCATCCCAAACGGAAATACAGTGGTACCTGGGCCTGGATCAACAACATCCATTAACCACGGAAAGCATGGCATATATTCGCTCTTCTATTATCAATAGGACGACCAGTTCGGCCGTCGGAGCTTTCCTCCAAATGCATCTTATTTTCTACTTCCCCGGAATTCATCGAATTTCTCTGTTTCATCCCTAATTCTCCTCTCCATTTGACGAGCAATTACTTCGTCACTTTTTCTCAATTAGGATTTGTATCAACCGTTAAAATTTTTGCTAATGCGAATGTGTCTCCAGCTTACGTGCCTCAGCTGGAGTTTCGAGATCTCTGGATGAGACGAGAGAGTGAGTGTATATTTAGGACTTACTGTAGGAAAAGGAAGAGAGTTAGATTATAGGTTGAGTATTCACACGTGGTTACTAAAAGAGGATTTTTCAAGAATTTCAAAAGTTACAAGTTCAAAAGTTAAGGACAGTTGGTCCTGAACTTCGAGTTCCAAGTTCAAAAGTTAAGGACAATTGGTCCTGAACTTAGAATTACAAGTTCAAAAGTTAAGGACACTTGATCCTGAACTTAGACTAACAAGCTCAAAAGTTAAGGACAATAGGTCCTGAACTTACAGTTACAAGTTCAAAAGCTAAGGACAATAGGTCCTGAAGTCCTGAACTTAGACTAACAAGCTCAAAAGTTAAGGACAACAGGTCCTGAACTTAGGCTAAGAAGCCCAAAAGTTAAGGACAATAGGTCCTGAACTTACAGTTACAAGTTCAAAAGTTAAGGACATGAGCAGAAGGGTATTTTCGTCCGGGCAGCTAAAGTTTATTAAAGCAGTGGCTAAAGACTAAAGATATTTTAAACAGTGGCTAAAGACTAAAGATATTTTAAACAGTGGCTTAAAAGTAAATACATGTGTCATTAGTGGCTAACCGTGTACTTTCCCGGCCAACACGCTATGAAAAATTAAAGCTGCTTGCCAAAATCAACTTGTGACGTCTCCCCTATTTGACTTGAATAACAAGTAACAATATACGTTTATTACACCAAATTCAACAAACTTTTGGATGGCCTATTCTTTTGGTTTTTGTTTTCTGGTAATTGACCATGCCATTTGTCCCAATTATTAGAAAAAGAAAAGGTAAAGGTAAAGAAATGGTCTTACCCTTTTGTCTCTGTCAAAACTTCTAAACATACAATTTACACAAACAATAAATTAATCATTTTTTTTTAGTTTGAATGAAAACTATCAACCAATCATATGAAGAATACCATACCAATCCACCAATCGCACATGTGAAGTAGGTAATCAATTAAAACTCATGAGAAATTAGTATTTAAATCTTAGCAAAAATTTAAAAAAAAAAATAAGTGAGTGATTTTCTTTCATGTACTAAGTTTTGGCTAATAAATCTATCTGATATTTATATTGGTGAAATGAAAATTATCCAAGATTATCCGAACTGGCTCGAACATTATTGTTATAAAATAATAACAGATATGCGTCAATCCCAAACCAAGGTCAATTAGTTTTTTGGCTGTTTACAAATTTGTTTTTAGTTTTATGATGTTACCTCTTTTTTTTACACACGAGAGATTTACTTTTACACGTAAGAGATTTGTCTTTTACACATAAGAGATCTGAAAGGAAAATTTTCTTAAATTAAAAATTGTAAAGGGGCATGACGTACAAATAGCACCCCAAAACAAGTAGATAATCTACTATGACTATACTTATAAAAAAGAAAAGCAAAAAAGAAAAAAGAATCCACCAATCAATTTCCGACAACACAGAAAAAAGAAAGAAGCTATACTTTTTGTTCCTTCTGTTATAAATACAATTATATTTATGGTGAATGTCTATATTTAGAGAGATTCTAGGGTTCATTACTTGGTGGCTAAGCCACCCTCTCCCTATAAATAGAGGGTTCTATTCTATTGTAATTCATCCCAAATTCAATAAGAATTTCCTCTCTCTCTTTCTCTGCAATATTGTTGTTGTTCTTTTATTGTTTCATAACACGTTATCAGCACGACACTCTAACCAATTGAGTAGAAGCTTTGGGATTGAGCATAATGATTGTCAATTATTCCATGAACTTCCTTCATGATTAAATTCTGGATTTAAGGTAAGTATTTTACCGTATTTTTCTCTTTTATTCTATACTTTGATTTTAAATACAAGCAAAGACAACAAAGTTTGATTATAACTCTAATGGAGTTTGTAAGAAATTATAACCACCTGAAGTGGTAAAAGTTTCTATGTCTTGCCATGACCAAATTCATGTATGATTATGGGCACAAAAAGTGGCAACCCGTCCCATTGAATTTGCTCCATTCTCATTCCCTTAAGAGAATGTGATAGCAGTATGTGATAAGTCTGAAAGAAGACAAAATTATCACTATGAATGTATCAATGGATGTGGACGTGGCAATAGACGAAATTATAATCGTCATCATTGTGATAATGAGAATAATAAGGATTCTCAAAATAATCCCCCACTTGTGAAAATACTTGTCATCGATTTGACGTGAGATTTTATAAAGCACATATAGATGATTATGGTCTATTCATGATGTGAATGTGACAACATCTGATTTAAGAATACATATTCATTTTTGGAAGAATATGAGCGTGCTAGTGGTATATACCACACTCACCTCTAGAAGGAGGTTTGAGATGATATAAGAAAATAATATCATTATTATGGCATGAATGGTCATTGGTCACGTACCTATTGTACGCCAAAATATTTTGGCATTGTGATTATTAAAAGTCAACGGTAATGCAAGAAACAAATCTTGCATGTAATTTTGACCATAACCATAATGGTATAACTTTCTCTTTAAAAGAGATATTCACCATATGGGTGTTGATGAATATGTGGTACTACAAAATTAATTGAGAACTCTGCAAGAGCCAATTATACTATTTTGGAGAAACACAATTAATTACCAATAAGATATTGTGTTGTAGTAAGTCTCAAAGAAACTTATTCAGTTTCCAAAGTATACGCGAAAGCGGTTGATTATATTGAGACTATAAATAAAGGAAAGATTTAATATCTTCTATTACTACATCTTGTAGCAGGGTAATATGTATGTGAAAAGCTACCCGCTTTATTCTCCAATTTGTACTACATAAACAAAAGAATACCACAATGAAGTGGATATTTATTGATATAAAAACCCTTATCATAATACACTTGGAGTTTATTGATAATTGCACACGTCATGGTGTAAACCTAGTCTTTATCAATATTGATAATTTATCTAGTTGGCATAATCAGTTTAGCCATATCAATTTAAGCATGATGTGCAAAAATAAAAGAGAATTCACATGGGTAAATATTAAAGAACTAGAAAGTTCTTTACAAATTCTCTTATGTTGCATGTTCTCATTAATTAAATGACCAACTAAAATTGGGATTGAATCCCATGAATGCTGAAAATATCAAAGGTGAATATGGGTCCATTCATCTGCCATGTATACCACATAAGATGCATCTATGAGATGGTTACATGCGCGATTATCAATAACCCGCAACATGGTGTTTGCGAGGTAACTTGCTCAATAATTTGATTTAGAGCATAATTTTCAGATTTTTTATTCAAGATAGTTCGTCTTGATAAGTTGGTTTACATCACAGTTGGTTTAGAAAAATGATTTATTGAGTGGCTCCACTTAATAGCTAAACGATTGCTTATGAGAACAAAGTTATCTATATCAGTTTGATATACGTTATATACCAAAGTATATTATTTTCTCCCCTCACAAGTGGTTCAGGGTCTGGAACCAAATAATTCCATCTTATTATTATTGATGTGCGGTGTATATTTTGATTAACACCATAACGCACAAAGGTGGATTCTCAAAGTTGAGGAAACAAGTTAGTTTTTCTAACATGAGGGGGAGACAAGATACAACAGTTGAGAAAAGTTACGTGGAATGAATTATCATTTGTACATCTAGATCCTCGAATAAGATAATATGAACTTGAAGTTCATAAAGGATAATTCATGTGCAATATATTGCAAAGCATGTCGGACGCATTTGCTGACCCAAAGAAAGTAACTATATTCTCATTGCAAATGCTCATATTAAGTCCTAGAAGGACAAAGTCTATGGTACGCTTAAAGCATATAGACAAATCGGTTTCAAATAAACTTCTTAATATAGAAGATGAGCAAATGATCAAAATGATCATAATAAGGAGGCAAGTGATCTAGAAGATCACATGACATAACACTTCATAAAATCTCAGGAGAGATTCAGGTACCTGAAAATATGAATGAAGAGATCTCTATGTTATGTCTTTATGAAAAATAACGAGGTTGGAACCAATATAAAATGTTTGTCGACGACATTGATAATAGCGCTAAATATATATATGAGGATCTTATGTCTATAGAAACAATTCAAGTAGAATTGGTTTCATATGAAAGACATGTTGTTTTGGACCTGCAGTTCAAACACTTGAAAGTATAAAGTCAATAGTGTGTGCAATCACTTTTATTTATCTTATATGTCTAGCATGACATGAAAAGTTGATATGCATCTAAAGTCTATTTAAATGGCTTATTTGACTATACTTATATGACAATCCCCAAATGATTTAAATTGCTTGAAGCATATACAATTCTTGATCTTGAAGTACTACATCCTTAGTGCAATTTGTGCACATATGTATCTTGCTATAACTATAAGCATGATAATGTGATAGCGAGGATTTTCAAGGTGCAACATATTCATTGGAGTTAATATGACGGATTTATTCACCAAATCTTTGCCAACGTCAACCTTCAAGAAGCTAGTGCACAAGATTGGGATGCGAAGGCTCAAGGATATGAATTGATGTTCTCATCTGGGGGAGTTAATACGCGTTGTACTCTTTTTTCCTTACAAGGTTTTGTCCCACTGGATTTTCCTTGCAAGGTTTTTAACGAGGCAACCAAAAGGCATATTGTTAGATATGTGTACTCTTTTTCCTTCTCTAGAATTTTTTTCCCACTGGGTTTTATTTTAGTTAAGGTTTTAACGAGGCACATTATCTGTTGAATAGACATTCAAGGGGGAGTGTTATAAATACAATTATATTTATGGTGAATGTCTATATTTAGAGAGATTTTAGGGTTCATTACTTGGTGGCTAAGCCACCCTCTCCCTATAAATAGAAGGTTCTATTCTATTGTAATTCATCCCAAATTCAATAAGAATTTCCTCTCTCTTTCTCTGCAATAATATTGTTGTTCTTTTATTGTTTCATAACACCTTCAACCTTTTCTGTTCCTCTACAATTGAAATAGAAAAACAGAGCCCCCAATACAGAGTTATCAATTGGCTAATAATTGAGTTATACAGAAAAATGCATAACAGGAAGCCAGAAATGATAAATCAATTACCCCAAATAAAAAAAAGAAGATAAACTTCCAAAAAAAAAAACGTAATTATCATACAAATTCATTTTTTCCTCTGATATTTCCTATAAATCCGTCAAAAATTTTACTGCCTCTTGTAAATGCTCAAGAATTCGCCGAAATTTGACTTATCTGTGAGCAGTAACCAGCGTCTCAATAAATCTTAATCCATCAAATTTCGGAGCAAATTTATCTGAAGATGCAGGTGCTGACACTGATTTTGAAGAGTTTCCATCCTTCTTCTTCGAACTATCATCCTGAATTATTTATTTTTTTCCAAAAAGAAGAAGAAGAAAAAATAAGCTTTTTCATTCTACAAATAAAAGGGACCAAAATTCAAGGAGGGCGAAAAAAAAGCTTACTTTTCACGCCACAAAGTTTTAGTTAGGAGATGCGAAATTTTCTTTATTAACTAGATAATTAAGAATTGGCCGATTCAAATAGACTAATTACTTTTAACTCTAACCATATCCATTGGTAAATTATACTCATTTTTTTTTTAACTCAATGAATATATATGTTAAATAGTTAAACTTATACTAAAATCTAAATCAATTATCTCAAATAACTAGTTAGCACAATTGTACACCATATCTAGCTGTGGAGCCAAAAATTTATATAAGGACATTCAAAAAATACTAATACGAATTTTTCGCAATATCAATAAAATTCAACCGAGTTTATATGTAACAAATAAAATTAAATTTTCATCCTATTTGCAATTGCAAAGTATAACTTTTTATGAACGGGATCATTAAAACCTCCTCTCCTAATGGCAGAGCTAAAAAAATTGAGAAAGAGGTTCAAAATTTAATATATATTTATAAAAATTAATTTTTAACCTATATACATAGTATAATTTTCTATACACTCCTTTCCTCTTACTAGCTCCATCCCTGTTAATCTACTGATTTAAAATTATAGATCTGTTTCAGAATTTAAGTCAATAGAAACGGGAGAGAACAGAGAACGGAATTTTTTACCTGATGACGAGAAATTCGAACTTTAGAAGAAGAAATAGCAGTTGCAGAAGCTGCAGTTACAGAGGCAATCAAAATTCCTGATTTCTTCATTTGAAAGGAAGGGAAAATTTTGGGGGATTTTCCGGCGAAAATTATAATTATAATTTGTGATGAGAATAAGGAGTGGGGAAAATAATTGGAGGAATTTATAGGAAGGAGAAGGAATTGGACAGGCTATATATGGGACCCACTATACACTGTCAGTATTGAGATTTAAGTACGCGGCAACTATTCTCTTCCCGACATTTTTGGCCTTAAACATATACTCTACTCCTTTGTTTGACTTGCGCATTTTCTATTTTGATAGCTGAATAAAAACGCCATTCACAACTTTCTTACTTTTTTGTCCTTTAAGCGTTTTAAGTTTTCCTCTACCAAACAAGGTTTACTTTGATAAATCCGTGATAATTTCTTCTAGAATGGTGAATATATTAACAAGGATTTCATTTAACCAGAAACGGATCCAGAATTTTAAGTTTATAGGGTCCTATAACGATTTCAAGGTAATATATAATGACAATCGGACTAATGAACTGGGTTCTAAGCTAAATATTCTTATGTATTTAATGAACATTTAGTATGAATAGAGAGTCTAGGCAAAAGTTAGTGGGTTCACATTGTGAGCTTGATGAATCTGGGCACAATATCTAGATTCATCAAGCAATTGAGATTGGGTCTGAAATGGGGAATAAACTCGAGAGAGAGAGAGAGATAAAGGCAGTTGAGAGAAAATGATTTTCTGTGTATTGAAAATGAATAAGGAGACATACTATATACATGTGTTAACTTAGCTACTGGGCCCCACATATAACTAACTAACTAATCTGCTGACTAGCTAAGCTAACATACGAACTAACTACAATTAACACTAATTACAACCAACTCTAACTGTACAATAGTTCACACTCCCCCTCAAGCTGGAGGGTGCAAAATGTTAAGCACTCCAAGCTTGCCTAGTAAAAATGTATGTTGTGACTGCCCATGCCCTTTGGTTAGAAGATCAGCTGGCTGATCTTTAGTCCCCACAAACTGCGTGCAAAGCACTCCTTGTTTAATCTTGTCACGTACAAAATGACAGTCGATTTCAATATGTTTGGTGCGTTCATGGAAGATAGGATTGGCTGCAATTTGAAGAGCAGCTTTGCTATCACAATAGACTTCTACAGGCTGCTTGGTGGGCACTCCAAGCTCAGCAAACAGTCCTAATAACCAAACTACTTTTGCTGTCACAGCTGCCAGGCTTCTATATTCCGCTTCTGCCGAGCTTCTTGACACTGTATGCTGCTTCTTGGATTTCCATGAGGTAAGTGAATTGCCAAATTTGACTAAGTATCCAGTTACAGACCTCCTTGTATTTGGACAACTCGCCCAATCTGCATCACAAAAACATGTTAAACAGTTTGCTTCAGTACTGCTTAGGAGCACTCCCATGCCTGGTTCATGCTTCAAATATTTGACTATTCTCATAGAAGCATCCCAATGAGTTCTTTTTGGCTCTTGCATGAATTGACTGAGTGTTTGTACTGCAAATACAATATCTGATCGTGTGATAGTCAAATAGATCAATCGACCAATCAATCTTTGATATTCATTTGCATCTGATAGGACTTCATCTCCTGCAATCCCAGTGTGTCTGTCAAATTCAGCAGAGGTGAACTTTTGGTTAAGATCTATTGGAGTTAAAACTGGCTTAGCACCACTCAGCCCCAAATCAGAAATGAGTTGAAGGCAGTACTTTCTTTGATTCAACAATATCCCTTCTTTGGACCTCATGACTTCAATTCCCAAAAAAATATTTGAGCTCACCAAGATCCTTCACCTTGAACTTCTGGTGAAGAACAGCTTTTGTCTCATTAATGAACTCCTCACAGCTACCCGTAATCAATAGGTCATCCACATATATCAACACTGCTACAAAGTCATCTCCTTTTCTTTTAGTAAATAGTGAATAGTCATATAAACTTTGAACATATCCTGCAGCTGTTAGTGCTTCACTAAGCTTAATATTCCATTGGCGGGAGGCCTGTTTAAGCCCATACAATGACTTCAACAGCTTGCAGACTTTTGTCTCCCCCTGTCTCCTAAAACCTTGAGGAAGTTCCATATATACTTCTTCATAAAGATCCCCTTGTAAGAATGCATTGTACACATCCATTTGTGATATATTCCAGCCATTAGAAGCAGCCAAAGCAATAACTGGTCTCACAGTTACCATCTTGGCAACTGGTGAGAATGTTTCATTATAGTTTAGCCCTTCTCTTTGGCTATAACCCTTGGATACTAATCTGGCCTTGAACCTTTCTGCCTCACCATTTGCTTTATACTTAATCTTATATACCCATTTTGAGCCAATGGCCTTCATGCCTGTTGGAAGATCAACAACATCCCAGGTTTGATTGCCGTCCAAGGCTTTAATTTCAGCTTTCATAGCTTCAACCCACCTCTTGTCCTTGCATGCTTCACTGAAGGTCTTTGGTTCTGTCAGCTCTGAGATTCCTGCCAAGAAACTCCTGCACTTATCAGTTAACTTGCTATAGGACAAGTAGTTAGATAGAGGATATGAGGAATTTCCTCTTGTTGTGGTCACATAATCCTGTAACCATCTTTGTGGTTCTTTTGGATTTTCTTATCTCAGTAGTCTCTTGCTCAATGACAGTTGGAGAAACTTCAACTTCCTCTACTGCCAAATGTTATTCTGGTGTTGCACTACTACTTGTTGCCTCTTTATCTGCACCTGCACCACTTGTTTCATCTCCTTGTAGTGAATGCTCATTTCCTCCATGTTGCATGTATGTATGTATTTCTGATAAGGTAGGGCTATCATCATTAGCTTCATGTCCAGCAATGTAGATCCCTGTGGTGTCATCAATACCACCTTCTTCAATAAATTCCTCCAAATTAATCTCTGCAGTTACTTCTGGATGCTTAAGTGCATTCCCACAGGAATCTTGCAAAGGCTCTAACTAATCTAGAGCATCTTCAGTTGTTGGCTGTCCCTTTGCATTGTGGAAAGGAAACATGTTTTTTTTGAATATAACATCTCTGCAAACAAAGAACTTGTTAGTATTTAAATCCATTAGTTTGTAGCCCTTTTTTGTCTCTGCATAACCAAGAAATACAGCTGCTCTTGCCCTTGGTGAAAACTTGTCTTCCTTGACCAAGTTAGTTGCATAGCAGAGACATCCAAACACTCTAAGGTGAGTTAGTGAAGGTGTTTTGTTGTGAAGAAGTTCATATGGAGCCTTTCCATTCAGCAGCTCAGTAGGCAGTCTGTTTATCACATACACTGCTGTTTTAATGCATTCACCCCAGAATCTTGAAGGGATATTTGCTTGAAACTTCAATGCCCTAGCTGTATCTAAAATGTGTCTGTGTTTCCTCTCCACTATTCCATTTTGCTGTGGAGAGTAAACACAACTACTTTGATGTACTATACCATATGCATCAAACAGTTCATTCATGTGCTTGTTAAAGAATTCTGTGCCATTATCTGTTCTAACAACTTTCACCTTAGACTGAAATTGAGTGTGTAACATGGCAAGAAATTTCTTTAATACCACAACAACATCACTTTTCAAGTGAAACAAATGTACCCAGGTGTACCTTGTATTATCATCCACTACTGTCAGGAAAAAATATTTTCTATCATATGAGGGAAATTTATATGGTCCCCAGACATCCATATGCAAAAGAGATAAAGGATTTTCACTTCTACTCATACTTCTGGGGAACACCAGTCTAGTTTGTTTTGCTAATGGGCACACAGGGCAATCATTATTCACTACTATTTCTACAGAACTATTATGAAACAAATCTAACTTCTTCATAGTACTAACTGAAGCATGGCCTAGCCTTTTGTGCCACAAAACTCCATCTCCTTTATTGTTTTGTGTAGTTGCAGCTGATGTAAACTTCTTTATTTCTTTGACAAACTTTTCCAAATCTCCTTTGTAATTCTTCTTCAAAATGTATAAACCACCTCTCTCTCTACCAATCCCCCTCACCTTGCCATTGTAGAGATCCTGAAACAAGCATAAATCAGGAAAGAAATTCACTGAACAACATAGTTGCCTAGTTAGTTTGGACACTGAGATTAGATTGAACTTAAACTCAGGCACAAATAGGACATCTTTCAGTTTCAATTCATCACTTATGATAGCATCTCCAATATGTGTTATACTAGACTTTTCTCCTGTGGGTAGATGTACTTGATCACTATTACATCTGTTTACTTTGTTTTTGGTGTTTAATATGTCTAGTTCACCAGCTATGTGATGTGTAGCTCCAGAATCAATTACCCATTCTTTACAAGCAAAGCTTGTCATTAAGGAGGTTGCAATACCTGCCATGTTAGCTTGATGCTCTGAAGTTTCCATGTTCAACATGCTTAAAATCTGTCTGTATTGGTCTTCAGTGAAGTATGATCCTACTTTCAATCCATCACAGCTATTCCCCTCTTCATCCTGACATCCCTGCTTTCCATTCTCTTGACCACCAGTTGTCATATTGGCTGCATATGGTCGCTTAGCTTTGAAATCAGTTGGATAGCCAACTAACTTGTAGCAGTTTTCTTTGGAATGTCCAGGTTTGTTGCAGTAATCACATTTCACAAATGGCTTCATTCCCTTGTACTGTCCTCTGATTTCTGCATAGGTACATTTCTTTGGAATGTACCTGTTTGCATAGCAACTGGATCTCCTCTATTTGGCAGGATTGGATGAGTGCTAGAACTTTGACTCTCATCTTTTATAATCAGTGCATAGGCTTGATTTAGTGTTGGCTCCACAGTCTTCAATAAGATCTGACGCCTTGCTTGTTCATATGTCTCATTAAGTCCACTCAGAAACTGCATCAACCTCTGTTGCTGTAGGTGTTCAATATACTCTTTCGAATTAGGTATGGGCACCATGGCATCATATTCAACCCACAGTTCCTTCAACCTAGTGAAATATGCAGAAACTGACTCTGTTCCCTGCGTAATAGTAGCTATTTCTCTGTGCAACTGAAATATTCGCACACGATTCACCTTGTCAAACCTCTCTCTCAGACCTTCCCATACTAGATGTTCATTAGATGCATAGACAATACCACTAAGTAGATCCGGAGACACTGTATTCATGATCCAAGAA